TTGTGTGTGTGTAGAAATACTTCTTTAACAGGAATGCTATAACAACAAAAAGCCCAAATGATTGCAATAACAACAACGACAACTGTAATTACAACAATAGTAATAATAATAATAACAACAACATTTATACCATTATTAATATTAATTAGGTTAATTAACTGCGCAACCAAATTACGAATCAACCACACGGTATAGAAATAGAGCAGTCATAATTATCATAATTTATTAAAATTAACTAACTAACTAAGTAGATATGACGTCATGAATAACAATGGGCGATAATAAGAAAAATTAGTAGAGGAAGATTAAACATAGTCTTTCAAATCTGTTGGGTGTTATTATTTTTACGAAAAGAATGATTGGGAAGAAATCACGTATTGATATAAATTCATCGTCATCATCGTCGTCATCATCATCGTCATCATCATCATCGTCATCATCATCATCACCATCATCGTCATCATCATCACATGCCATCCCAAACGGTTAGCTTTCCGTTGGAAAACATGAGATTTTGCGTTGGGAGTATGCTGTTGTTGTTGATGACGTTGTTGTTTACCGAAGGATGATGATGTTGTTGTTGTTGTTGTAGTCTCGTGGTTGACATTTGCTGGTTGAAACTGTCTGACGTCATTTCCTGGGAACGTATGTGTGTGTGTTTGTGTGTGTGTGTGTGTGTGTGTGTGTGTGTGTGTGTGTGTGTGTGTGTGTGTGTGTGTGTGTGTGTGTGTGTGTGTGTGTGCTATATGATCAAAGGCAAGGTAATAATAACTATTTGAAATGAATTGAATAATACGAATGGACAGATGATATAAATGACCAATTAACGCAAGAATGAAAGAAAGAAAGAATGAATAAATGAATGAATGAATGAATTAATTAATTAATTAAAATTTTATTCACCTGATTTTGATGCACGAATTTCAACAGGTCACTGGCCAATCTCCTATTAGATAGCGCCAACTCTTTCAAACTGATGTGCAAAAAATTAACCAATCAATCAATCAATCAATCAATCAATCAATCAATCAATCAATCAATCAATCAATCAATCAATCAATCAATCAATCAATCAATCAATCAATCAATCAATCAATCAATCAATCAATCAATCAATCAATCAATCAATCAATCAATCAATCAATCAATCAATCAATCAATCAATCAATCAATCAATCAATCAATCAATCAATCAATCAATCAATCAATCAATCAACCAACCAACCAACCAATCAATCAATCAGTCAATCAATCAATCGACCAATCAACCAATCGACCAATCAATCAATCGACCAATCAATCAATCAATCAATCAGTCAATCAACCAACCAACCAAACAACCAACCAATCAATCAGCCAATCAGTCAACCCGACAATCCACCGACCTATCTTCTCTACAGAGCTTGTTATCTTGAATCCTCGCGCACACCTCCTTGTTGAGTTTCCTATCAAACAGCGGAACCCCAAAGCAGCAGTCCAACAGCAGCCAATCATCTTCGTCGAAATCGTCCTCCCCACTGACGTCATCAACGATACCGTCACTCTCCGTAATCGCATTACCGAAACCGTTACCGGTACTGGCCACTTTTTCGCAGCCGCTAATAGTAGGATGGTTGTTATTATGATCGCCACCGGTGCTAGCGAGTAGGGATGGGCAGGTGTCCGTAACTGGAGTCGGTAGGTCGAACGGCGCTTGCCCTCGGTATATTTTGTCGGTCGAATCCTTACCGCAACGGTCGTCATCGTAGTCGGTACTGGGGGCGTAGTCGGACGAACGAGTGGCGTGGTTGCTGTTGTTGTAGTAGAGTCGGCGGCCACCGGTTTTCAGCATGGTTATGTAGCCGCAAGTGTGTTCGAGGTCAATACACTCGTACAGGCGTTCGATGCTTGTGTGGCGCTCTAGTTTGCTGCGTTTGTCTGTACGTGTGCGTGTGCGCATGTGCGTGTGTGTACCTTTATATGTTTGCATCTAAGTATGATATTTTATTATTATCATCATCATGGTCGCCATCATCGCCATCATCATTGTGGTCATCATCATCAACGTCAACATACCGGCTTGTTGCAGGGGGAATGGAATATAAACAGTTTGACCGTCCTTTTGATCTGCACCGTGCCCCTAACGAACAAAATCAATAATACAAACACTCTCACACACACACACACACACCCACACACACACACACACATGAACACACAAACGCACGCGCACACGCACACCTGTACGAGAATGGCGGAATGAGAGAGTGCATCGTTGAGGATGAGGAGGATGTTGGAAGCTGGAATGATTGAAGGATCGTGGCCCCACGTCGCTATCAGGATACGATCGAATTCCTAGTAATGATTACGATGTAGGTGATGATCACACACGCACACGTACACATACACACGTACACACACACACACACACACAAACACACACGCACATACTTGTAAGACTTTTGGCAGTTTTCTTAGTTTAGTTCCTTTGGATAGCAGTATAGATGGCGGACCATTTGACGTCAACGAGTATAAAAATAACTTAAACCAAATGGAATTCACCTTTTGAATGAATGGATGAATGAATGGATGCATGAATGAATGGGTGGATGGATAGATGGATGGATAAATGGATAAATGGATGGATAAATGGATAGATGGATGGGTGGATGGATGGATAAATAGATAGATAGATTGATTAATTGATAGATGGATGAACAAATGAACTCCCCGAATACGAAAATGACCTCTGGAATGGTTGGACCGAGATGGTGGGGTATGTTGTGGCTGACGGGTCTCACCTCATTACTCAATGGCGCCACGGAAAACAACAACCTGTTCATGATAATGATGACGATGACGACGATGATGACGTCATCAACGTCAAAACGACAACGTGACGTCACATCACAGCACTAACGAATAATTTTTATTGAGAACTCTGCTACACGTGGCGGCGTCCAGCCCGAGAAGACTCTCGCACCTGAGAAGGTCAAGGCCCTGACCTTGACCCGTGACGTCATCCTCATTTGAGGAAGTCACGAGGTTACGGTTGTGACGTAGGAAGTGGACTGTTTCGCGCAGTGTCACGGCGTGGTCGAAGTAGCGCTGGGCCTCGCCTTCAGCTACCGTGTCCACCTGTGTGCGTGCGTGTGTGTGTGCGTGTGTGTGTGCGTGTGTGTGTGCGTGTGTGTGTGCGTGTGTGTGTGCGTGTGTGTGTGGTTGATTATGCTAATAATTTAACCAATCACCAATCAATCAATCAATCAATCAATCAATCAATCAATCAATCAATCAAGCAAGCAAGCAATCAATCAATCAATCAATCAATCAATCAATCAATCAACCAACCAACCAACCAACCAATCAACCAACCAACCAACCAACCAATCAATCAATCAACCAATCAATCAATCAACCAACCAACCAACCAACCAACCAATCAACCAATCAATCAATCAATCCACCTTTTCCAGCTCAGCAAGGAAGCAGTCAAGAGACTCGTCACTCAACTTGCCCACTTCAAACATCGTCACTGCATGACTTTTTAAACCCTGGGGGAATGAAAAAAACCTCCTCATCATCATCATCATCATCACCTTCTTCACCATCCTCACCCTCTTCATCATCACCATCATCGTCACCATCATTCCAACATTCCTAACGGGTGATAAATTTCCCATCATGAGAAAAGCGGTCAAGGTAGAATCGAACATGAGGGCTATCCTCTTCATGTGACCACTCCCGACCCCACTTCCGCTGCTGCTGCTGCTGTTGTTGTTGATGCTGCTGCTGACACCCAAACTTGATAAGCTGATGTTATCTGCCAAATAATTTCAACCAATCATAGTTCGTCACTCAAAATTTAGAATCCATTTCAGGCCAATCACGAACCCTCGCCGCCGGGTACGCTATCGGGAGAATTGATCTGATTGGCTGGCTGATCTGCACCCGTCATTATGTTCGACCAATCGATCAGCAGCTGCTCTTGTGTGGGCCTGGTAATGATGATGGTAGTGAGTGATCAGGATTGTAGAAAATAGTGGCACCAATACTAGAATGAAACATAGAGCAAGAAATACAACAACAGTAGCAACAACAACATCAACAACAACAACAGCAACAAGGTCAACAACAACAACATCAACAACAACATCAACAACAACAACTTCTTCGTGACAATGTTAGTCTGCTCAACGGTGTTCCACGACTCATGTAGCACATCCAAGTGTTGGTCGATATTTTTCTTCCGACCAAAACCCAGCCTACAAAACATTGAAACCGCATTCTGTTGGGAAGAATTTGTCGCTTACGTTACGTAATGTTTCCTGCGGTGCAATGGTTAAGATGCTTGGCATTGCTGTTGTGGTGGTCGGGTTCGATTGCAAGGTGATGCCCGCCTGTTACTGTTACCAACTTTTTCACACAACCACTTAGTTACTCATTTGTTTATTCATTCATTCATTCACTCATTCATTTAATTCATAATTCATCCATTCATTCCCTCATTCATTCATTCATTTACTCATTCATTCATTAATTCATTCCTTCCTAAAAAAAATCGAATGAAAAATTGAAACATCAACAAAAACACACCTTGACGAGTTGTAAATCAATCTCTAAAACTTTAGCCAGCTGTGTGGGGAAGTAGGATGATCATTATCATCATCATCAAAAGCAACATCATCATCATCACCATCGTCATCATCATCATCATCACCATCAAAATTATCATCATCATCACCTCGGCGATGGAGGTATGTTCGTCTATGGAGACAAAGATCTTATATAGAAGTGTCTCGAAGTAATCACCCAGGACCCTATTCATCACGAAGCCCTCTAGGGGCGGGACTATGAATAAATTATTATAATTAAAACTGCTATTACTACTGTGAATAAATTATTATAATTTTAATTGCTATTACTACTATAAATAAATTATTATAAAGTAGAAAAGATTAAAAAAAAACAAGAAAAAATTTACAAAAAAATTAAAATAATAATAATAATAATGATATTAATAATAATAATAATAATAATAATAATAATAATAATAATAATAATAATAATACCTATAATATGATCATCATCATCAATGGGTACGTCCAGGTATATAAGACCTTTTCTGTATAATCCTGCGCGCGAATAAATTAAGATAAATAACATTTACAAAATTACGAACACATATACAAAATACTACCGCACGCAGACCAGCGTAAAAATTGCATAAATTAGAACGCATTATAATAAATTATGTTAATTTATGTTAATTAGTAGCTTGGACCGTGCAAAACGTTGAAGTCGAGGCTGGCGGCCACTTGGGGTCCATTGTCGATTATCCTGTCAATCAACTTCTTCTCATCAGCCGAGCAGATCTGCGTTGAAATTTTGAGTTTCTTTTTGAGATTTCAGTTTATTTTTAGTCTACTTTTACTATTTTTAACATCATAATCATCAGTGTTGTAATCAGTTTCATCATCATCACTACCATCATCTGGAAGTTTACATGATTTTTAGTGAATATTTCGACGGCAACAACAAAATCTTCAACGCCATCATCACTGCATCATCATCATCTTCATCATCATCACCACCATCATCATTATCATGACCTTGATATCCTCCTCGATTATGTACCCGTGATGGACCACCCACCAGGGTTCGATGAGGACTGATTCGACGGGCTGCCGAGGTAGCAAATCTTTCAAGGGCTTCTTTCGAAAAAATTTCTGCAAAGGTGGAAAAGTTTTTTATTTTAAGAAAAAATTCATTTCTACACAGACAAAAGAATTCAACTTTTGTTTTAAGTTGCTTTTAATAATGAAATATAATGTACATGATTATGTAATTAGGTTAAGTAGCGAAAAAAGTTGACCTACTTTAGAAGAACGACATTGGTTCATGATGTCAATGTACTGGTTTCTGCCTATTGCCATTAGTCTTAAACCTGAGTAAAAATTGTAATAAAATTAAAAGTTATTTCTTTATCTACCCATCCATCTATCCGTCTATTCATTCATATATCCATCCATCCATCCATCCATCCATCCATCCATCCATCCATCCATCCATCCATCCATCCATCCATCCATCCATCCATCCATCCATCCATCCATCCATCCACTAACAATCAGCAGCGGTGAAGTTAGGCAGAGAGTCATAGCTCTTCTCCTGAGCCATTATATCAGTCATGATGTGCGTGTAGTAAGCAAATGGAGTGATTCGTAAGCCTTTCACTAGAACATCAGACAGGTGGTACGGGTACAGCATCAGGTGCTCTCGACTGTACTTCAGTAATTCCTCATAGTATTTTCTCTCATCTTTCTTGATAGTTCGAACTTGGGGGTGGATTAGAGATGGTTTGTATTAGGGTGTGGTGTGACGAGATTTGGAAATTAGGCGATGGTGGTCATATTATGTGTTGTGTATGTGTGTGTGTGTGCGTGTATGTGTGTGTAATAGTAAGTAGTAAAAACTTGATCAGGTATAGTTAAAGAAAAATGTAAGCTATGAAATATGTGTGTCTGAATTAAGAATATTTGATTGGAGTTGAACTGTGTCTAGATCTGACAGAAGTGATTAAGTGATTGAAATGAAATAAAATTATTAACCAAAATTTAATTTTTTAATTTATCTTAATTTATCTTCCAAGTCAATTTTCAAGTAGAATAAAATTGAAAAAAAAATTGGTATGCTTACCAAGGTTGCCTTTGTATCTCAGCTGATTTTTGATGCTGTAGTTGATGGCAAGTTTGTCGTACTCTTTCGAAGAATTGCCTAAATTCTGATTTACAAATGAGTAAAAATGTCAAGTTGACCATGCATTGCAAGTATAAATAAATATAAATTAATTCATAAAGAATAAAGATTAAATATGAAAAAATCAAAAATACATTTTTAGGCAATGAAAAAAAAAGGGAATTAATAAATAAAAAATGCCATATATATATATTATATATATTTGTATTGACATTTGAAAATTAATACAAATTTTACTAAAATTTATAAAATTATTTAAGAAATTAAATAGTTTCAAATGATGAAAATGAAATGAATGAAGTTGTTTTTTGTAATAATTTAAAATTTTAAAAATTTGACATTTCAACTATTCATTTTTATTTGTACTGAAACATTTAATTCAATCAATTTTAAACAATTACTAAACTAAAGTTAAATTAAATTAATTTAATTAGTTAGTTAGTTAATTGAATAAAATCACCTGTTTTAAATTCAAAGGTAGGTTTGCCCAAGCAATGTTCTTTCTAATTGAATGCTCAATTTCAATGTTCATGTTTGCCTAATACTAATTTAATTAATTATTTTTTTCACCAAATATTTAAATTAAATTAAATTGAAATTCATTTGAAATAAATTTTTTCAATTTAGTTTTTACTTTAATAAGGAAGGAAATTTAGGGAAAATTTATTGAATTTTAAACAAATGTCCTGAAAATTTAAAGGCCAATTTAAATACCAAAGAAGCATCTAATTTTATATTTAATTTCAAATCTTAAAACTTATTTCTAAATATCAAAAAACATTTTTTCACTAACTAAAATCACTAATTTATAAATACAAAAGTTTATTTCATGCTAAAAAACACAAATACTTAATTATTTAAATCCATTTTTAAACATCTCATGAATAATTAATGAGCAGTGACGTATTTGTGAATTTCTACATAATAACAGATCTGTCTATTTTTAAAGTTCTTGTCCTAATTTTCTTAACTTTCGGATATATTTTGAACGAGAAATTGGTTCCTGATAACTCGGGGGTCGGGATGTTAATGAGTGCCAGCGAGGCAATTACAATTACTGAGAATTTCGGTCCGTAAACGAAGGAAAAGAAGAAAGGAATGCCGTCATTATCAAACGCTGTTAGGTACAAAAATCGTCTTTCTTATTCAACCGGAAGTTCCATGTTTTGTCAAAAATTTTCATTAATTCGTTTTATTTTTCATCGACAAAATGGGTTTTTTTGATAATATTCTCGATAAATATCGTTTATTAATTTATTGTCATCTAATGTGAAATATATGAATTAGATCGTATTGCAATTTTTAAAATTTCAAAAAATTTTCTTCTGAACTTCCGATAATAAACAGGTTGTCCGGCAGACGATGCGTCATCAGGCTGGGTGCCAGGCCTCGGCAGTGCTCCTGATGTGCCCCACACCGAGTTGTCTGGTCGCAAGGCAGAGGGCAGCGGTGTGGGGGTCCAAAAAGAGCCCCCTGTCAGGAATTTTTCAGAGTTCGACAGGTCGACGATGGGTACGATGGTCAGTTGCTCGCAGATGGCGCAGAAGTTGATGAGTGATGCTCGGAGTTTGTGTTTTGTGGTGGCAGACAAGACGGGTTTGCAGGATGCCGTTTGGGACAGCGTGCTGATTGGTGGGGCACTGCTAGTTGATGTTCCTCTCAATGTTAAGCCCGAGGGCTCCAGAGAGAGGTGGTATAAATAAAATAAATGAAAACAAATTATTATTCTTTTGTTTTTGTTTGCTTTTCTTATGACTATTTGTAATTTTTCATCAGGGGTTTCAATTTCTGTTTGAATGGATGAATAATTCTTAATTTTGAATCATTAACACGAATTGTCATCACAATTTAACGCGTTTAAAAAGTTCACAAACAAACAAACAAAACATTTAACTGTGGATCTGTTTTGTTTCAATCCATTTTAAAAAATTTTTATTTGAAAATAATTTTATTTTCCTGCAGTTTCATGATGCTGATAGAGTATGCAGAGAATATTCTCAAGTGCTCACGTGTTGTTGCCTGCTTCAAGAAGAACAGATCTGATCGAAGTTCTATCTTTTTATTGTTTTCTCACTATTTTTAGACTATAAATAAATGGCTAAGCACTGAAGATTCATAAACTTTAACCAAATTTTATAATAGTTCATTCAACATTCATTGGTTTATTGCTTCACTCATACATTCATTCATTCGCCTACATTTTCATACATGCATTCTTGTATTTTACTCTCTTGTACTGAATGATTCATTCTTTAATTAATTCATTAACCCATATATTTGGTTATTCATTCATCCATAGATTAATTCAGTCACTAATTTACTCATCAATTCACTCATTAATTCACTCACTCTTTAATTCACTCACTCACTCGTTCATTCACAGATATCTTGATCAGAGCTCTAATGCACTTTGGGTTCAGTCTAGTATCTCCACCGTCATCTATGCCCACACCAGCAACAACATCAGTTAGCAACAACATCAACAACAATGCCGACATGATGTATATGTCTTGTGCATTTGATGAGGATGATGATGAAGAAGATGATGATGTCGATGATGATGATGATGATGATGGTGATGATAGTAACGTTGTCGTTGGCCAGTCGGATGATGATTAATTCCTGCGGCATAATATTATTGGTCAGTTGATATTTTAGCTGTTTGTTCTTTGTTTTTCGTCATTTTTTTATAAATCTGTCTTTGTTTTTTTTTTTATTAAACTGACATCGTTATGTTTTTTGATAATTACAGATAATTCGTCCTGATGTGTTTTGAAGGAAAGAAGTGAATAAAAGAATGAAGAGAGAGAGAACGAAAGAAAGAGCCAAATGATTAAGAAGAATGAAGAGACAAACAGTTGATATTTATATATTCACATATTTACCAACATTTATGACGGATGGATTACCTTTATGCTATGCTGTGCTTCGGTGACTCTTATATTCTTTTTATATAATTTTGTCTGACCAACAATTATTCATTTATAGATATATATATGTTTATATGAACAGGATATATATGTGTGTGTGTGTATCCGTGTGTGTGTGTGTGTGGTTGTAATTTTATATATTTCTTTATATATATACGATTTTAATCATAATCACATTCAATTGAGTGTCTATCATTAAGTTTAATTAAATTAGTACTTTTAATTACGAATTAAAGTAATTGATAAAGCGTTTGATAATGACGGCATTCTTTATTATTATTATTTTATTATTATTATTATGTTTTTTTTATTATTTCTGTTGTTATCATTCTCCGAAACTGCATATATAATCTTTGGTTCTGTGTTTAGTAGTATTGATAGCCTAGTAGTCTGAAAAATTATTCTTTTTATTATTATTGTTATTGTTGTTATTTTTATTTTTCCTGCTCCAAATTCAGATATAACCGTTTTCTTTAATAGTAATTACTATAATCAATCATCCAATTGTTATTTTATACATTCACAATTTTGTCGTGAAATAATATGTACTAGCATCGAAATTTCGTGTACTAGATTCACTTTTAAAATGTCTTCCGGTACTAATTTTATAAGTTTTACTACTTAGGAGGACGCTTAGTGCAATGGTACAATTATTGAGGTGTTTGCCGCTATAACCGGGTTCAATTGCAAACTCATCCCAGCCTATATTTCACCTTTTTACGTGTGTTTGTCGTCAACAACAAGTTAGAATTGTAATATTGTTACTATCACTGATGCTACTACACAATGGATGGTACTAGAGTTGTCGTCCTTACTGCTACTACCCTTAATTCTTTCTATTTCCTATATTATTACTACTTTACAATGGTTGTTGCTACCAGCTTGCCTCTATTACTATAATACTTATATTATTACTGCTGCTACTACACGTACTTCTACCGCAACAGCTGCTGCTACTACACGTACTTCTATCGCAACATCTGCTGCTACTACAACCAGTAGTAATATTACTACTAGAGCTAATAATATGTGAAAGAATAGCCAATGATAATATACTACAGTTGGCAATACTTGAAGTTTGCCGATCTATGCTGAATATTGCTGAACAATTATACAAAGTTGTGTTTGTGCGTGTGTGTGTAATTTATTTGTTAAGTTAAGCAAAGCAAATAAGCTGACTTAAACAATGAAAGGTAGGTATGCTATGTCTGTGTGTGTGTGCTTGTGTATATGTTTGTGTGTGTGTGTGTGTGTGTGTGTGTGTGTGTGTGTGCGCGCGCATGTTCACGCTTGACAGAATTTTATGTTGTCGAGACCGACTGCCTTTTTCATTTTGCCATTTCATCGTATCTATTTTAATCGCTTGTTAGTTCATTTGCTGCTTTAATTTAACGATGGCTGTTTGTAGATTAGATTGTTGAATGAAAAGATTAGAGAGAAAGAGAGTGAGACAGAGATGAAATGGAATGAGAGAAACGAAGAAAACAGAAGGATCGAAAAAAAATGACAAAGTGTTATAGTTGTAAGAAAAATTAGAATACTATAATGATTGAAAGGAATCGAGAGAAAGAGAGGGAGATAAAGAGAGAGAGAGAGAGAAAGAAAGAAAGAAAGAAAGAGAAGATGAAAGTGAAGGAGAAGACAAGAGAATGTAAAAAAAACCTTCAGAAAGAGAGAGAGAGACAAAGAGAGAGACAGGAGAAAAAATATAAAGAGGGTTCAAAACATTATAAAAAAAAGAGAGAGAAAGTAAAAGTTAAGAGAAAGGGAGAGAGAGAGAGAGAGAGTGGTGTCGGATTCCTATTGGTAAGCCTTGCTCTAAGCATCCATTGTGAAATAATTATTTAACTAATAAACTAAAATGCTAACTAAACAATTAGGCTAAGCAATTATTGTTGTTATTATTAATGTTGTTGTTTGTATTATTGTCATTTGTTATTGTTGTTAATGTTTTTATTATTGTCATTATTATTTTACCTACAAACATCAGAGATCTTCATAGCTAGACTGTCATTTCGTTTCATAGCTTTAAGGGCAAAAAATTGTTGGTTTTAATTAATTAACTAATTATATAATTGTATAATTAAATATTTATTTATATAATTAGCTGTTTTCTGTATTTTTTCGAAAATAAACATAAGAATAAATTAAGTTAGTCCTTAATTATTTTATTCGTTAATGATTAACTGATTGAGTTAATGATTAATTGATTGATCAATTAATCAATTAATTGATCAGTTGGTTAATTGACGAGTTCATTCACTTCAATTGATAACAATAATTCGTAATTAATTAATCAATTGATTCCTAATTGATTTTTATTACGTCATTCTCACAATAATCAAGAATTAATCAATTATTATTTTATTATTAATATAATTATTTATCATATTCATAACAATAACAAATAATATTTTTTATTATTATTGTTATTAATTATTACGTAATATTTTATAACATTCTTCACAGGGTTTAACAAATTATTATACCAGATAGTGTTGCTAATTTGTTTGATAACATCGATATGTACTAATGGCAGGTCAGTTATAATCATAATAATGATAATAATAATAATAATAATAATCTTGTTGTTATTTTATTTATTATTGTTTGATTATTAATATTTCAAAAATTATCTTTCTATTTTAATTATGTATAACCATATCGTTTCTTATTAACAACCCCTAAAACTATTATATTAAAAATAATTCCATTCCTTCATTCATAACCTCTTCAATCCATCCACTTATTCAGACGTCGTCAACATTCAACTAGTTGCCGGATTAGTTGGGGGAATTGGGAGTGTCATTCTTGGATTCTTGGGCATCTTTCTATGTATCTACTACTTGTATAACAGAAGAAAAGCAAAAGAGGCAAACAACATGTACATTAGTAGTAGTACGAACGCTGGTGCGTCAGTAGATTTTAGGCCAGGTTGGCCAAATTCTCAGCCAATCACAGCTCGGGATCAGTATAAGTATTGGGCCAATCATGGACAAGTTAATGGTGACGTCAATGAGTAAGCGTTCATTTCTATTTTACGAATGACGTCATTTTGGAGAAATGACGTATTTCTAATAATTAATTTAATATTAAATTTAAATGAACGAATTAATAAAATTATAAAAAAAACAGACAAACGAATGATGAATGAAAATGGAACATCTAAGCCAATAAACAACCGAGAAAGTAAAATTTTAAATAAACTACCACCCACCCTAAAAAAAACAGTGTAGACATCAACCCGGAAACGGGAGAGCCCCTTCCTATGGTGTACGTCGTCAATTCAGGAGGTGTCAACAAAATTTTGGAGGGCCCTCCGGGGGAACTTGCCCCCTGTACCCAACCTCTGTCGGAACTGGTTTACGTCCAGCCACAGTACATTTCATTTTTTCGATCATCAATTGGTTCACTCACTCAGTCAGTCATTTTTTATATAACTTTACAAAATAAATGAGAAACAACAAAGTGAGAAAGAAAGAAAGAGAAAAAGAGAAAAACATAAGAGAGAGAAAGAGAAAGAGAGAGAGAGAGAGAGAGAGACATACAAAAATTGGAAAGAGGAAGACAAATAATGTTCATGAAGCATGTGTTATCCGTAAGCAACGTTTATGATTGATCATACTAACTATTTCATCACCAACGTTATTTATTACTAACTATCATAATTTATAATTTATCCTAAATATAATTACCATCAGTCATAATTTGTAATTATTTAATTATAATAAATTATAGATTCGCCTCTCCTCAGACAGAAGCGATTCCAGAACCGTATTTTAAACCGGCTGTGGCCTACCAACCTTATCCCAAAAGCATGGATCCCTGTCAGAATCCATACTTCCATGCTTTCAAAACTGATACGTATGTGCATTTTTGGGGGGTATTTTGAGGTTTTTTAAAAAGAGGGGTCTTTTGGGGGTTTTTTCACTGCTATAATCGGTGTTTTTAGGCTCATTTTGTCAATTTATCTGTTGTTTGGTGGTTTGGATGTTATGGATGTTGAAAACGCTCCGAATAATTATTATTATTGTTATTATTGTTATTTTTATTGTTGTTTTTATAATTATTATTATTGTTGTTGTTATTATATATAATTATTATTATTAAATTTTATGCAGTCCAAAGAATTACCCTCTAATTACTAGAGCATGGTATGAACTTAAATTCGTTTACAAATATAATTAGTTTTTTAGTAAATAAAACAATCAAATGATTAATTAATTATTTTGAATAAATTAATAAATTATGCTAATCGAAGGCTCGAGCCGGATATAACTGACCCGACAATCATCGGTCAAATAACTCCATACGGGGGTCCGCAGCCGGAAGCGGAAACGAAAGCGAATGACGATGACGTAGACAAGATGGTCATTATCAAAAAAATTAAAGAGAGTAGGTCAGTTAAAAATTGGGTGGATTAGAAGTGTGTCCAGGGCTTTCGGGGTTTAAACTCTCGCAGAATTTCATTGAATAATAATAATAATAATAATAATAACTATAATAATATTAATTGTTATTATTTGTATTGTTATAATTGAATGTTTCGATTAACTCCAAATAATAAAAACTCAGCCCAATGGTTGTCTCCATATCTGACGGGGAAGATGTGATGGAGAGAAAGAAGAAGAAGAAAAAGAAGAAGAAAGCTATGGAGTTCGAAATAGTTTACGAACCTGAAATGAAGAAGAAACATCGTCACCATCATCATCATCATGATACAGACGTCGATGATGACGACGACGACGATGATGATGATGATGACGGAAAAGGAAAATTTAAATGGCCGTATTTCAATAGGTCAGTCAAGCAATTATTACGTGTATTTGTTATTAATCTTCCTTTGCTTATTTCTGAAAGGTCTCAACAACAAACTCGTTGCACACGCTCTCGCTCGTAAAAGGGGATCTTCTTGCATTCTTTTCATACAGACAACTTTATCATTAAACCGTGCGTTTGTAGAACTTGCCAGCCTATTTGCCTGTCTATATTTATTCTCTATTTTCATTTTAAGCAATGAATGATTGACTGATTGATTGATTGATTCATTCATTTTCTTAGCTTTTTATTTTCTTCTCTCTATCCTTAGGATTCGAAATGATAACGATGCCAAGGAGATGATCCAGCCAGACAAAGCCCACTACTACTACTACGACGACGACGACGTTGAACCAGGCAAGCGCAAGAAGGTGAAACGTAAGAAGAGGTACATCCCTGAAGATGATGGGCTGCGCTATGTCGTCGCTGCTGTCCCACCACCGCCACCACAGCAACAGCCGCCACAGCAGCCACAACCACAGCAACAACAGCAGCCACCACAGCAACCAATCAT